TTTCATTAGTCATTTCTGTAACACGCAGCCCTTCCAATCTGTGCTAAGATTCTGTCAACGTTATCCTGTTTCATGGCGATGCAGTGCTTGCTTTGGCGTGGGTTAAGCGTTCTTCGCGGAAGTCTGCAAAGACCATCTAAGGAGGATTCGGGTTGTCAAAGTGCACAGACTTCACACTCTGACGTCAGACCAGAAATAGTGCCTGCCATTTAACCATCGATATCGGGCCTGTTCTCGCTTTTGGCGGTATGGTTTGGCATGGCGCTGTTCTGAACCACACGCACACTACGAGGCGGCGAAGCCCTTTATCTTTTTATTAATTAGTACCAGACTTGTGTCGAAGAATCTGGAAAAATAAAACACCTTTCGGCTACCCCACGCAAGTCATTGTTTAGGCCATACCATAATCAAACACCATTGCGATCCTGGATTCCGAATGGAAGACTAGAATGCGCTACAGGTAAGGCATTCGTGCAAGCATTTGGAAATTTTTCCAACTAAAAAAACTAGATATGTGAAGGCAACAAGAACCCTGGACCGAGAGGGTCGATTCGATACCAGTGAATGTCCTGCTCGGATCCTTCATATGTATACTGCCAGAGATTTGACCTTTGAATTCAGCTGAGTATTGTAAAAGGAGTGTGTGGGATATTAATATTGCAGTACTCTAATGTGCAAATCTTCCAATAGATTAATACAATACAATGTCAATCACCTTTCCAAACAGATCTGGATCGTACGGTCGGCTTCCGAGAGAGTCGAAGATTGCGTAGAACAGAAGCATCGAAAGTCGCTTCTCAACTTCGGTCGCCACACCATACTGATTGCCGCTACCATAATATTTGTTGCAGCGTTCATAGTGCAGTGTCATCAGCTGGAATAAGTTCTTAAGGGAAGGGTTGAAAGAGGGGAAGGATGGATGGAACACCAAATACTCAAGCTGAAGGTCACTCTTTACAGTAGCTACGTTTTCGATAGTTCAGGTTACAGTAGTAGATTTGTTACAGTACGATTAATAGCACTTGCTTGAGGAGCGAACTCACAAGGATT